AAATGCATTATTTTACATTATTTTAGTTTGAGTAATTTATTTGAAACAATTAAACTTTTAATAATTAAATGATTTTATTTCTACAATATTTCCAGACACTATTTTATAACTTTCACAATTTTTATATTACGATTAAACAATTAAATTAATTACTTCATTCAATAAAACAACATCGTTTCTCTTAAGTACGTTGTTCAAAATTCTTAGTTAAATATTTTAAATAACATTTAGAAATATTGCAGTGGAGCATTTATTATTTCATGGTTGCAAATAAATTATTGGAAATGTTAGATAATGTTTAAACAAGTAGAATATTCAGAAATATTATTTAAAAATTGACTTCGAATGTTCAATCGATGTACACACGATGAAAGTTCAACTTAGAATGACCTTTTTCACTGCTCAACCATCAGATAAAGTTAAAGTCAGCGATGCACAACAGGTGGTAGTTTTTGTCAATACTTCCAAAAACACTATTTCTGTTACAGTAATCAATAGTTTTACAGTTTTTATGTTTTATTTAGTTAAAATTTTTCAATTTTGCAGTTTTATTGTTTCATAATGCCCTCATTAGTCTTCGGCAACAAGAAATACTGTAATTTTAGCGGTGTGCGAGAGCCCGAAAATATCGGAACAAGTCGGATTCCCGAAAATTTCGAGATTCCCGAAGGAATCGGGTTTCCCGAATAAGTCGAGATTCCCGAAAATTTCGAGAACCGGCTACCGTTTATCGAATTATTCTACAATGCTGTATAGCAGCCTACAAAATATGTAAATACACAGTTCAGTTTCTCCTTCCAGTGAAGTTATTGGAAACACTTATTCTAAGAATCGTGTGATCTGATGTAAACGAACGTGTGACTGCGTGTTTAGTACTTGGACATTACGTACGCTGTTGAGCAGTATCGCTGAGAAATTCGGGAAGCTCAGACGTATATTTCAAAATCTGTATTTAAAATCTTTAAAAAAAGTGTCGAGTGATAGTGAGAGTAAAGTTGTGGTAGCAGGAAGTAGTGCAGAAGATATCGTGCAAAGGAAGAAGGTAAAGAGAAGCTCTGTTTGGGAACATTTTCAGGAAAAAGATGATACAAAGGCGGAATGCATACATTGTTACCATGAATTTAAAACGAAGTATGCGAGTACTACTGGTTTATTACGCCATTTGAAGCATATTCATTCAAACATAAGTACATGTACTAGAAAAGAGACTGAATCGATATAAAACTTGTCGCATGTACAAAATGATACGCGAAAGATTGTTAAACCAAACGAAGGAATTGCTCGAATGATGGTTCTAGATCTGCGACCTTTCGACATAGTTGAAGGCGCGGTCTTTAACGAATTATTTATTCTTGTTACCAATCATTTCCCGAATCCCGATTCTTTCGAGAATCTCGAAATTTTCGGATACCCGTCCCTATCCCGGAGAAATTTCGTGTAAATATTGGATTTTCGCACACTTCTAGTATACACGTAGTATCTCGTTTATATTTTATATATATATATATATATACGTATACACGTATCTCGTTTATATTTTATATATAAGTATACACGTATCTCGTTTATATTTTTATCACATCTTGGACGCAGGCACCATACTACTCGTTCTTCTTCGTCTCGTTCATTTTCTGTTTTTCGTTAACTACAAATACACAACACAGTATATTCTTAATTTGGTTTGTGAGAAGACAGAAAAACATCAGCCTCTTTAGCTCAGTGGCAGAGCACTGGTCTCGTAAACCAGGGGTCGTGAGTTCAAACCTCACAGGAGGCAAAATTTTTTTTTTTTTTAATTTATTACGCTCGATTTCGCTTGTTACGATTGCACAGAAATCATGAAATATTATAAAGATTTTCAATTTTTGAAAAAACATTAAAAAGGTGTTATTTGTATGTAATATATTGTATGTACAAATCAAAATATATTGAACATGAAAGAGTATTTAATTAAAATCTCTTTTTAATTCAGTGAAATTTATTTATGATACATGATACGCCAAAATTATTGGCACGTTTACATCAAACGACAATATTCAATATTTCGTATTTTCTCATCAAGTAGGAATACATACATACATCAATTCAGTCCAAGATTTTTAATTATTCTACACTAGGTATATATTTAATTACAAATCTTCGAAAAGCTTCGAAGCTTCTTATCGCAGCTCCTACAGTTGACGATACATCTTTAAAAGTCTAAATTCATAAATCCCCAAATCGTCCGGAACATTATCCATCAAACCGTATTGGACAAAGACCGTGAATCATTGGATTCGAATTGAAGGATTCGTTGGGCCATTGTCAATTATAAGAAATCGGTCTGGAAATGGCGCGATTCGGAATTCAGCTTGCGTGTTGGGAAGCTGCGAATGCGTCCCACGTAGAACGAAGCTGCGCATTCTCGATATTCAGAAGTCACACCGGCCAGTGCGAGAGCCCCGTACTGTTTCCGTAAAATGTTTGTAAAGTAAGGAACCAGAGGTCGCTCGCGTATATTAAGCTATACTTTGGTTGCTCGTCTCGCGAGGAGAACACCGGCGAACCATGAGACGAGCGAACGGAATGTTCGATCGCCGAGGATTCTTAATGAAACTTCGACCAGCTCGAACAGAAAAAGCGTAAAAAAAAGCCGCGATATTACGTCGAGCGAACTTTCAGCCGCGGCCGCGTCGATCCTCACCTTCTTACATCATCGCTTTCGTTTTCTATTCGCACCGGGCGGAATCGTAAATGCGATTTAAACGATGCTTCAAGGAGTTTACGTTTGATCAGGTTAGGTGCCCCTCCTTTCATGCTTGCCCCTTTGTTGCTTCATAGCGCTTTAAATTTGCATTAAGTCGCTGAAAATGTAACAGTTTGACAAATATACAGATTTTTTTTTTAAGACTTTAAGTTTATGGATAATAACTGGTAGAAGTATTGTAGATGAGTGACGGAATAATTTCTTTCGTTGATGAATATTTTTTTGCAGGCGAATCATTTTAGATGGATTAGACTTTCTTAACAAAACAAAAGGAGCGATTCGTAGGAATATAATTGGCAAAGATTGCCTTCCATGGGAACCTGAATTATCCCCTCTTTTTGAGAGAAATAAATAAAAAGAGTTGCATTTTTAAACTGAAATAAAAGAATATTAAAATTAATAATGAAAACTGTCTTTGGAAGGAGCCAAAGATATTATTAATAAATAATTTAAACGTGTATCCTTGAGATATCGCAATTTTATTTAAGCAAATTTTAGTTTCATTGTTCCGCAATTCTGGTTGTTGAAAAGCTAAACTGTTATTTCCTCGATAAATTTTTTATCGTATATATGTACGTAATATGAGGAAGCTAGTAATTACAAATGATACTTCACGACGTAAAACTATTTTCTTTTTTCTTTTCTTCAACTTTCATTCGCAAGTACAACATTTTCTTGCCTTACACGAGTGAATCAGACCACGGATGTCATGTTTTCACGAATCATTGTTAATCCCAGGATTCGCTGGTAAGTTGTTACGGCACTGGTACATTCAAACCGGTTTTACTCGATCACGAGACTTTAGGCGATCGTTTGCGACGTGGGCGAGGTAATGGTCCGTTCGACTGAAAATCGAAATCCCCTTTGCGAGAGATTCACACGTGTACAAGCTGGATAATAAAAATCTTTTAATCAAATTTAACGATACTTCGTGACATTTCCAATTAAACGTCCATCCATTAAGACAACATATACACTGCTCAAAGTAATTGAACGATCATTATTATAAACAATTTGTGAACAATTTATGATGCACTTGCAGCATTTTATAAAAAGATATATATATTTAACACAATTATATTACATATGTATATATAAAAGATATATATATATATATATATATATATATATATTTAACACAATCATATTACATATGTATATATATAACACAACAGTATTACATATGTATATATATAACACAAACTTATATATATTATTATATTATTATTATATAATAATATAATAATAATATATAATAACACAACAATAACTTTTGTATATATAATGAATAAGTTACACATTACATACACATGCACATTTTTATTAATATATTATTGTTTATATATATTTTTGTTAATATAATTTTATCATTTAGTTTCATAATACATACATACTTTAATCCTTAAATATTGTAAATTGTGAGATTTTCAACCGTACTTATTTCCCTCTCTGCATTATCTTATATTTTTCAGTTGCTGTTATTTAATCATGCTTAATGTTCGTTCCTCGTTATTAGCACATAATACTAAAAGGAAATAAATATTAACGGTCTATGAAACCTTGTTGCATAAGTTCCAGTGTCTACAATACTTCAGGGTTAAGCATATGCATCGTGTATGTACTTATATATCCATAAATTTTTTATAAACTCATCGTTGCTTGCACATTGTCCAAATTTATCGCCTATTACGTAAGAATTATTAACAAACAATAATATACTAATAATATATTAATGAAAATATATATAAACAATAATATATTAATAAAAATTAACTAAAATTAATAATACACTAATAATATATTAATAAAAATTAACTAAAATTAATAATATACTAATAATATATTAATAAAAATATATAAACAATAATATATTAACAAAAATTACAAAAATAATAATATATTAATAAAAATTAACTAAAATTAATAATACACTAATAATATATTAATAAAAATTAACTAAAATTAATAATATACTAATAATATATTAATAAAAATATATAAACAATAATATATTAACAAAAATTACAAAAATAATAATATATTAATAAAAATTAACTAAAATTAATAATACACTAATAATATATTAATAAAAATTAACTAAAATTAATAATATACTAATAATATATTAATAAAAATATATAAACAATAATATATTAATAAAAATTATCGTTAGCAACTAAAAATCGTTCGAGCGTGACGAACCTTTTCTTTTTGTTTCTCTCAAAATCGTTGGAGACTGATTGAACGAATGAAGAAGAAAGGGAAAGACGTTTAAAAAAAAAAAAAAAAAGAAAGTTCCTCGGAAAAATGTAGAAAATAGAAACGAGCAACGAAGACGGGTATATTTACCTATATGTTCGATGGACGGAAAAGCGGACTCGTCGCGGATGGCCGCGAAAAATGACGAAATTGCTTATCACGGGTTCGTAATTTTTCGCTAACTTCCGTCGCGACGATAAAAAGCTAAAATTATGCCGACTATGTAAGGGGCACATAGGCACGTTTTAAACGGATAGATAGATACGTACATACATACGTACGTACATACATACGTCTATACATACACATGGTACATACGGTGGCGCGTCGAAGCGTGAGGGGCATATACGATCCGCTCTTGCTCGCTTTCTCGCTTGCTTGCTCGTTCATTCGTTCGTTCGTTCGTTCGTTCTTCGTTCGTTGGTTGGTTGGGGCTCGCGGACGAGCAGTTACTCGCGTTGCGGGTATTCGCCGTGCATTCCCGCCGCTAGTATTCTAGTATTCTGCGCCGTGCTCAGGGCACCCTCGGAACTACTGGCCTACGTGACCGGCATTGCCAGCGACGCTCTTTCGAGAAAGGCGCCTTCCAATCCACGAATTGCAAAATATTCCACAATTACGGAACTCGCCGCGCCACGTACGTGGCGTTCATTCGCTACGCGAACCAATCGACATCGATTCCATCCGAGAATGTTTCTCTACCGAAACGGGGGTGAATAAAACCTTGCGTCTTCAAGGCTTTGTGTCAGGTAATATAATAGCGTGCCGATGTATTGCGTTACATCACGCTGCAGTTTGCAAGCTCTTTCGCGAGAGGAAGGAAGAAAAGGAAAAGCGGGAGGGATTCGAAGCGTGAGCAAACTGGGTCGTTGAAAATTTATATACCTCTGCATCTTTCTTTCCTTCCCTCTTTTTGTGTTCTAATTTTATTGAATAAAAATTTCATAGTTGATTGTGTAATGTATGGACAGAGTAAAACTCTGTTCGATTTTATTGGGGGGGGGAGGGGCAAGCGGTATAATTGAGGTTCCTGTTTTACACAATAACTCATCGTTCGGATGAATGAATTAAACGAACAGTTCAGTTTAATTGGCTGCTGTGTAAAATGTTGCTTGTATCAGAGTTTGATTGTAGTAAAAGTATTGATAAACGTTTTAGAATTTTCGCGAAGCTTGAATAATAATGCAGTTTAGACTTGGATGTAACTAATCTACTTTATCTGCTAAATATAAATTTCAGAAAGAATTTAGAATTACGAGAACGTGTAATAAAAGTCGATGTGGAGAAACACTTGGGGAAAATGAATGAAATTAAATTGAGTTAGAGAAATTGGAATGAGAATTCGATAAATTTAAGTTAAATTTAAAAAGTTAAAATAAAAATGAAATGAGGATGAAATGAATTATTAACAGGAATTTAAGTAACTGGAAATGAATAATTCGAAATCAAATCTAAATTGTTGTGATCCATGATCCAATCGTATATCAATTGAGAATTGAAAAACAAGTTAATATGGTTAAGAATAGATAAAAGAATCTAACTACAAATTTTCATATTTTCGCGGATTTTGCGGCGGATAGCGTTTTTGGTGATATTAAAAGAGAATATAACGAATCGAAGGATTTGCGATTTATGTAGTCGGTTTGCGTGAATAGAGTGGTTTTGTGAAAGGTTTAAATCGAAGTTTCGGAAACCGAAGTTTAACCTTTTTTTGAACAGAGGAAAATTTTCTACACGCCATTCGCTAGGTATTATTTCACGATATGACGTAAAAGCTCAACATTTGAACGAAAATAGAATTAGAAATACGTAAGTAACGAGATGGCCAATTTCATAAATGTAAATATAGACATTTATGAATATAAATGTCTTTTTATAATAAATATGTATTTATTATTTATCAATTGCATAATTTAAATGAATTAAATCTAAATTAAATTAAGATTAATCATTGATTGAATGAATCAAATTTCATGCAATACTTTTTATATTTGTGTCAATTTATATTTATTGTAAATCATTTATTTATATGTAACCGAAGCTACTTTTAACTTCGTCGTTTCAATTTATAACAAATATAGGTAAAAAGATAGAAATTATCTGATTAACAAGTTAACTCGTCTTTCTAAAATTGTTAAATATTTGATTTTGAAATATTTCTACATTAATCAAATCAGACGAATTTTGGTTACAGCAGTTAAATTTTAAATGAAAGTTTATTTAATAAGACTTGTTACTACTAGATTCTTACTACTATATAATGTATAGTTTCTAATGTGCAGCAATTTTTTTTATTTTTATTGTTTATCATTATTTCTTATTTATTTTATATTATTTGTTTTATTATCTAGCTTCTTAATTTTAATTGATATTACTTTTATTTATTAATTTTCAATTATATAATTTCAACAATTTCAATATACTAATATACTAATAAACTTTAATATACAACTTTTAATATACTAATATTACTAATTATCAATATTACTTTTAATTATTAATTTCAATTATATAAACTCAATAATTTCAATTATAAATTATATAGTAATATTGTCACCACTATTAGTTTGGGTTTGGGTTAGATGCTGTCTGAGACATTCTCAGTAATTTCAACGTTGAAAAAATTCACTTGTTGACAGTATTTGTCACGCTTTCTAAACATTGTTAGGGCGTTTATTATAATATTTCCTATTTATTTCCTCAACGTTTACGGCGAAAAAGATGACGATACGCTAAATTGGTGCTTTAGCAACGTTGATATAGTCTCGAATATAATATTCTGTTAGTCATTATTTTTGTACCATTTTAGAGCGCATAATAGATCATACTTGTAGATAATAAATCATTCGTACTGGTCATCTATTACATAAGACAGGCAGATTATAAGAGAATTTACGTGTTATTTTTAGTTGTGTCAAGGAATTTTATGGAAGAGTATAATTTCACGTAATTTCACATAATTATTAATATAATTTGTTTGTTATAAATAAAATAAATTCAATTGTAAATTCCATCGTGAAATAAAAGGAAAAAAAAATGTATCTTTGTATCTTGTATAATACTAAATTTCAAGCCAATTTCGCCGAAAACGGGGGATATTTGTTGTTTAATTAATCTTTTAAAGTATAATGTTATGTACACGCATCATTAAACGTGAAAGGATCAATAATTAATCAACCAGCTTTCGTTAACTTAAAACTGTTACGCAAATGGTAAGTTCCGTAAATTACGCAATATAAGAGACACTAAATTCACAAAATATTACGATTAAAAAATATCAGACATTATTTAGAAATTTTCCTTTATTTTCATAAGAAATTTATTCGAATTTTATTTGAATAAAACAAAAATGAAGCTCCTGGCCCTTTAAATTCTCTTAAATCGCATGGCTGAAGTCAGTTTACAATAACAGATATAATCGAGACACTGAAAACCATAATTAACCATTCGTAGCTAAAACTATAGAATTACTTACAATTTTTTTCTTTTTTTTTCAAAAAATTAATCAATTAAGTTAAAATCAATCAATTAAATGAAATTGATACTCAAAATCAAAGGAGATTAATTAACATACAACAGGCGACATAACCTAACAAACACGTGACCTAACTTCAATCAAATAATCCCTAGTATTATGTAGTCAATTGAACTGATGAAACATCCGGTTCGCTAATCTCAAAAAATATCGAATATTCAAGCGGGGACGTTATCATCGATGCATCGGAAAGATGTTTGCCACCGGATGGCCCAGATTCACAGGCTTTATTCAAGAGGGAAATTAAACAAGTCTTACTCCAGTGAATCGAATCCCGTTACTGCGTATAATTCTGTAACGGTTTGAGACTTGAACGGGTAATTGCAAGTGAATAACGCCAGAGGCAGCTTGTGCGCGTGTATTCGAAAACAGCCTGAAAATATCGAGAAATGAGCGCGACTTAGGAAAAAGAAGTAATTAATACCGCTTTCACGTCAGAACGATCCCAATGGCTGATTGAAATGAAAATTGGTGAGTCTTAAATGCAAAATCTTAATTTTGGCAATTCAATCGTTCAAAAGATACATGTTCAGGTTAGGTTTAGATTTAAGTTAACTTTGTATATATTTTCTTTACATATGGTATTTTCCAACAGTTTGCTAGAGTAATTCGTTGCTTATTTTTTGAAAAATTTACATCAATGTTATATTGTACATACATGTACATACATAACCTATAAAAATATTTTATGTATCTATCATATGATATTGTATATATATATTCTTATAAGTTCCAAGAATGTTTCATGAATTTAATTATGGTTGCAGTATATGCATGTTCTAATAAATTGTGAACAAAATGACAGTTGCAACACTTATGCAACCATAGTCCAAATAAAGATGTATTCTCACTATTCATGAACAGTTGACGAATATTTCATCATGTGTTTGTCATTACATACGAAATGATCGTTTGCAAATATATTCATGTTCCGATAGGTTTACCGATAGGTATACAAGGCCTTATTTATTAATGCGTACACGACTTAACACGCTACTGTCGAAACACGTGAGAATACGTTTTCATTTTTTTTTAATAGTAAAAGGGACACGTGGAAATAAAATTCTAGCGACAATTTCGAACATTACATGACTTTTGAGTGATACGTTGAGTATACTTTACAGTAAAATTTAAAATAGCTCGTGGTACGCTACATTAAAACGTATAAAATGTTTCGTACATTAGAATGTGTAAAATTTTCTTCGTGCAGAAGCATTAAGGGGGGGAAGAAAAAAGAAAAAAAAGGAGCGTTAAGAATAAAAATGAATGATACACGGCGACGACGTACACGTGTATCAATTTATCATCGCACGACCGAACTAGACGAGATCGCGACGTCACCTGCTCGTAACGGTTGGGGGGAAGACGAAGGAATACATGCCTACGACTACGGCTTTCTTTCTGCCGGAATGGTTGCGCATGCGCGCGCAGCGTACAGCCTGTATCGCAATACACGGCGATAAATCGCTTATCTCGCTAACTACGACACAACGGTCGGTCCACAAGACGCGGGGTATGAAGGGGTACTTATATCGGTATCGACACGCGAGGGCAACGTGACTTTCTAGCCGCGATCGATACGAAAAGTTTCGTTTACGTGTTGCACATTCGCGACACTTTCCGCTTTTCCATCGGTGATTCGTAATCGCGGCGCAGTTGCTCCCAGATCGCACCTGCGCGATCCAAGCGCTCCTCACGTGAATCGACACACGTACGAGCATCGATGTTTTTATGGTATACATATTTAATCTTGCTGTTCCTCTCAAGTCTACGCGACACGAGATAAAAATTATATTGCGATAGAGTATACTGCTATATCTTGATTTCGACTATTTTGATTTCAGGGTGTGGTTCTAGATATCAAGACTTAACAGAGATAGTTCATGTACCAAAATTACATACATTGAGGTTTGCTTCTCAAGTTTGAAGAATTCGGTTTGATGTTTTGGCTTTCTTTACAATAAAATAGAATTATATCGTAAAGCAGATTTAACGTGATCTATAGTTGATATAACATTGATATAATATTTTACAAATTTGCTACGTGTAATAATTTTGATAAAAAGGTATGTATCGATAGAACAAGTTTCAATTCTTATTTCATATATGAATTTGAAAAAAGAAGATAGTATATTACATAAACATCCTTCGAGTTATACGCTGATACAGCGTAATAGTATAAAAAAGTGTACTTTGATACTAAAGTTTTCAATGTACGATCATTTGTTTCTGAAATTTTGAGATGTAAGTGAATCCTTAACTGTTTGTCAAGCGTAATGCAGGTGTGGTCAGTATTTACTTTGCCGACCCTGTTTTCGATATGTTTTCAATGACTATTCTCGACGATACATGGATACGTCGTCGATAGATAATTTATTCTTTCGTATTGCAACTTACTCAACCTAAATAAATCCGTTTAAATAACCTAACCTAATTTCAATTTGTAATCGTGGGAGATAAATGAAGAGAATAGCAAGGTTAGAATTAGTCGATGATTATGATATCGTAGTTTCCATATTGAACACGAGTGAGTCGGTATCCAATCGATTTAAAGATGAATTTGCGACCGGCTGCTGACGTCATAAGGACGCTTCCGGAGTTGTGTCTTGAATCGTTCACGAATATTAAATCTATGTATACATATTTTGAAATTATAGAAAGTTCTCTGATAGTTACATTAATACGTTGATTTATGAGCTTAATCAATTATTAAGGCATAAAATTGAATTAATTATTATTGTAGTATCGTTTAGGGATTTCAGATAAAATTTTCAGAATTTTCATATTTTAATTAGAATTTTAATATCCTTAAAGTATTCAAAATGATGTGTCGCAAGTTTTTAGGAGAGAATTATTTAAATAATAATTGCAGATATTTTAATTTCAATGAATTACAGAAAAACAGAAAATATACTATTATGCATTTATAACAAAAAATGTTACCATACACATGCTACCATAAAACATAAGATAAAACAAGCATTTTATTCATTATTTATACTTTTTATTACATGTTGTATTTTATATTGTATTATGGTCAAAGTTTTAGTACATATAATCTTTACAATCACAACTTTTACTTTACTGAAAAATAAGGGTGCATGCAAATTTTTTGCTCGTCTATAATAATTCATAAAAATTCATTAAATAATTAAAATAGTTCTTTTTTGACACGTTATTGTAAAAAAATGTAATGATATTTATATATAATTCAGTTTTTTGTATAGGTATATTTATGTACTACAATTTTATATTATATTACATGTGTGTGTAATGAAATATATATCAAATTTGAATTGTGTACAAATAAGACTAATGAAATTTGCTTATATTTACTTTATATTTTATTATTATTATATTTTATATTTCATTTTATATTTTATTTTATATTTTATTATTATTATAATATTTTATATTTTATTATTATTATTATTAGACGTATGTACATAGATGATACTAGTTAGTTCTTGGCTCAAGTAGTTATTTAAGAATGAGCTAAGTATTTTTGTTTAACATATTTTCTCGAACGTTTCGTGGAAACTTTCGTCGAAAGAAATACTATAAACGCGGCTTGAATGGAAAATTACGCGAAAACAGTCTAGCACGAAACTAATTTTAAATATTTTCTACATTATTCTCAACGTTTCATGAACATTTTTGGTTTTTAATTATATACCAGAGATAAATATACGTTATACTTACGATATTGAGGAGTGTTATCAAAGTGTGTTACATTTATGATATTGAAAGTTTCAGACCGAGTAATGTTATCATTATGCTAAATTTCTAGAACTTTTCAAGTCCTCGATCTTTTAAGGAATTTTCTTCAATCTCCTATTAATTATGAATTCTAATAATTATGAATTATTCGGAATTACTGATGCATGTATATAATATAATTATGTATAATAACAATATAATATACAGTAATATATATTATTACTATATGACATTATATTTTTATCATATCATTATTATACTGTATATACAAATATATATATATATATATAATTTAATCTTTTGTAAGTATATACATATTATGATCTGTGAACAACTTATTCGTCAAAAAAGATGCATCAGAGTTAACGAGCGAAAGTGCATGTATGTGTGTTAATCATACCTTCAAATTTAATTTTAATATGTCATATTAGCTGAATATAAGGCTCGTTTTATTAAAATTATTGTATTATGTCAATCTGGCCAAAGTTTAATTTAAATCTGATTCTGACAGTAATCTTGGATTATCTTCTATCTGTTTTGGTTTCAGTAAAAACGTTTTAGGAAATGTGTCGATGTTTTGAGAAAAGACCCAAAATTAGATGGAATATTTCCGTTCTGCTCCAAATATTATTTTGCAGCGTTAGTTGCTGGCGTTTCGCGATGGGTTCCAGCATGCCTGACGACGTTCGATCGTTTGTTAAATTTATTACGTTAAACCTCGCAATTTCCGCTATTTGAAAACTGTCGTGCTTCCTTGAAAATCAATTTTTCAAATGCTCCATCTAATCTTTAATCTTTCATCTAATCTTTCTAATAATTCTTTATTGACGATCTCTTGGAAATGCTTTCGAATGATAATAGAGTCCCTATTATTCGAAGGCTCTAATACTGAAAACATATACAGAAGTACTTAGCATATAGCAAGTAATAAATATAATAACAAATACATTAATTATTCTTTTCTCTTCTTCGATCACTTTTCGTTAAAATAATTAAACGTTGCATTTTTAATAAAATTGAACTTCAACAAAAAGAATCTGTACCTATCTGTGGATCTCTTTGTTTCTTTTTTCGTTTCTTTCATTTTGAAAAAAAACTCCAATAAACGTTAAAAAAAACTCAGTATCTCCGATAGAGGTTGAAAAGAATTCCGACATAAAATAAAAAATATTTTCAGATTAAATACGGAGTGCATTTAAAATACGTTCGTCCTTGATGGGAAGTGTACTTAATAAAAAAAATTATTATTTAACATCGGCCGATTTATCTTTAGAACGTAGAATTCTAGTTCTAAAGATAGTTCACCAAATATTGTCACTTACTGATATAATCAATAATTGCCTGTACAAACATAGTTTGATGATACGTGTCAAGCAGTATGCTTGCCATAAATGTTATGTAACTTCCATGTACATTCTGAAATTCATTCAAAATGGTAATATAGTTATAGCGATCGTCTCTTCAATGAAAGTACAAAAATTATCAATGAAATTTCAAAATTTTTCACACATTTGAAATCTGATATTTTCCACGATTCAATTAAATTAAAAAGATTCTCGTTCGAATTGTATTTTATATATATCCAGCAGAACTGTTCAAACACCTATATGCACTATAGTATAGTATGTTGCATGTAAAATTACTCTCTAGTTCAGCGATTCCCAACCTCCTTTACCCCACTTTTTATCTCTTTACCCCCCCTCCCCCCTCCCCTTGTAAAACAATGAAAAAGCAAAGGGTCTTCTATGTTATTAAATTTAAATGTCAAAAATTCAACAGCATTATACTTTATGTATAACCAATTTATTTAAATTCATTTAATTCTACCGAAGGTCACAGTTCATGGGAAACTCGCGATTGTTTTTTTTCCTTTTCTTTCTTCTGCATACGTATTCTCGATCGAGTAGTAACAAGCATTACAGTACACGACAGAGCTGCGTATTCCCTCTTGGAAGACAGTAGAATTCAGCCCACCGGGATTGGGAATCTCTGTTCTACTCACTTTCACAAACTATAATCACAAAGCCACCGTGTATATAGCAGGAGAAACAAGCGGAATTTATTAACGATTGAGTATTAGCAGTTGAACAACCTCTACGGTCTCTGTCAGCCTGTGCTTTGACGTGCAATAATCTGTAATATCGGCTATACATAAACGTACAAGCCGCACGAGTCAATAAACGTACATCATTGGCACAAACGTAAATCGTAGATAAGCTTTGGAAATTTCCTACAACTAGAAATATAATTCCCTTGTACGCGTCGCGTTGACTATTTGTGTGAAAAAAAAAAAAAAACAAACAAACGAACATCGTTACTAGATGTACGTGTAATGATGACAAATTTCTGAATCGTTCCTCTTTCAGCATTTCTCTTTCTCTTGTTACTCTTGCTACAAAAATTTCACGAATGTTTCAAATTTTGATGTAACATTGCGTTTTCTTTTCTCGTTTTGCCTACATTAAATGCGAAAAATAAATATGTATGTGTAACTAGAGATATATATGTATATTTATACATAGCTGTTTGTATATTTAAGATGCTTCGTTTTATATATATATATGTTTTATTAACAATGTCAAATTACTAAGTAATACCAACTTAAGTGTCTGCTGTCGGACAACTGACAAACACCAATATGTTGCTTGTTTCACGCAGTCCCATAGTAAAGTAGAGTGGGGGAATAGTCCCAATTCCAAGAAAGTATGGACGCTTAAGCGGAGACTATTGTATCGTGTTTCAAGCAGTTCGTTCGCAAACTTTTGACCGTCAGTGTACAGTGTGTACGTTTCTGGACGCAAATGAGGATGAACGATAATTCCCCAGTGCCTCGAGGTGACAAATATTTATCTAACAGAGGAAAAAGTTGTACTTTTGCGCGACACTAGCGACCTATTCATTGGCCTGTTACCCTCGCGATAAACTGTCGTTCTGTCATTATGGCGGAGCACGCGAAATGGTGCACGTTATACGAATAACTTTTCCTCCCCTATAATAACAACCTAGTTTCAAGCGCGATGCCGCTGAAAACGGAGAAACCATCGCGTCACAGTTATTTTCCCTTTCGAACGGAACGAGTTTTCGCGCGCATTTCGCCGAGGGAGATATTGCAGGGTAATTCGTTGACGTGTTATTATTAGCATCGTTCTTGTTTTGTAGACGATTTGTTCACGAAATATTTTTTACAATAAATAATACAAATATTATTTACAATCCGCGTTTTGCATATCACAATATGAATATACATATAATATCATAGGTTAAGTTGATGCACATGAAATGTTTGGTAGCCATTAAATTATGTCCTATTGCTAATTACAACTGTATTAAAGAAATTTATCAAAAATTATGTATATTCAGTGTTAAGGAACTTCGTTATTGTGACATTGAATTATTAATAATCTATCAGTTATTAATATAACCAGAATTGTGTGACCTCATTTGAAAAAAGTACCTTGAAAGTATTGAATATTGCTATACATATATCATTCAATATCATGCAATATTATTTAATGGTAATATTTATCAAGAACATATACAAAATAAAAGAAACTTCATTCTAGCATATATGTAGAATCATTAAATGTCGAATAAATTGAAAATCTAAATTTAGGAAGCACATATATACAAATTTGCATAAAAATACGCAGTCTAGTGACAAATGTTACTATATATATGTAGATATTAAAAAGTTGGGCATTAATCATATGATAATTAAACGATAACATGTGTACATTGTTTGACATTAACAACACTAATAGAGAGATGTAATTTGTCAAAAGGCATTGATAACGAATCGATTTTTTTTAGAACTCGTGCAAGATATATACATATATCGGAGGAATAGTTGGTAGCGGACTGGAGGCAGCTGTGATTTGAAATGATAGGATCTTGTTTGCTGTTCTCCTTTTTTTCCATATGTCTAATCGAACGCTCTCGCAGCTGTTGCTTTTGACACGTTATCGTTTCATGTGTATGCATGTACGTATATTACCTATCATCGAAATTTTCAGATCGATCGAATACATTTTTGATGAACATGAAATCAGATTTTACAACTACAGGTACATAGAACTTATATTAGTAAAATAAAATGTAAGAAAAAAGTTAGATCATAATGAAAAACACAGGTTTTTATTTATATATTTAATGGAAAATCATTCAAATCTATATTTGGTTAGTGTGAGTATTTTATTTTTTAATAATTTATAAATTTAACAACAATCCCTTATAATCATGCAAGCATAATAGAAATTAGATAATAAATTAATATTATTTTATCATTTATTTAGTACTTGCAAAAATATACAATATTAAAATAGTATTGTACACGTAAATTCATTATAAATAGTATCAACGCACAGGCCTAAAATATCTTTTGATAAAAATGTTTTCTTAATTTAATAATAAAGAACAATAATTTATTAATAAAAGATCTTAATATAATATAAGTATAAAATAAACAATATAATATGAAGGAATATCGTTATCGTTTTGAAAAATCAAAATAAAAGAAATTAAAAAAAATATTTAAAAAAATTAAATTTTAAAATTTTGGAGTATAAAAAAAGTCACTTGTGTGATCAGTTCTTTTTTTAAATATTAAGGTGTCGAGAATATTTTTATTTTTTTTTATTAATAAACCGATCCTCTTTTTATTACGAATATACACATAAACTACGTAACATGATCTCGAAATAATTTTAATTAAAAATACTTCAATACTGTTAATAGTTCTTACATCGTTTTCAACTTAACTTTGTTCCCCCTGTTTAAACTATTTCTTTTCACATAAACTTTACAATTTTTTCTTTCACAAACGCGTTTTTTTATTCTTTTTTTATGTTAATTTTTAATATTTTATGCGTGTAAGAATTATTAACAAAGTATAGAATATAATATTAAAATAAACGCAAAAAGAAGTAGTAAATAATATTTATTAAGAATTACTAAATAAATAATTGAAATAAAGTTATTAAATTATTAAATAATTACTATTAATACTATAATTTATGTATTTAATATTTAATACATGTATATAATCTTTTTTTTTTAATAAAAAGAGTAACACAATTGCGTAGAAAAGTAATCAAGGGTCATAATAAGATTAAATATGCACATAGGGGGTGATAAAAATATCTGCTAACTAAAATTATTCAAGCAAGAGCTTAAATTACTATATTTGCTCCTTTAGGAAATTTATTTTAAACATTTGATTACACTCAAGGCTCTTTCGTCGTGACGTATTTTATAAAATCGATAAACTTGTCTAGAAGCGTATTATAATAAGGATTTTCGCATGATAGGGATGGTGGAAACAAATTTTCATCTAGAAGATTGAAAATAAAGGAGTTTCAATTTGTTTGAAAAGCTCAGTTTAAAAGAGTTTTCATTCATTTTATTAATAGCAATTGTTTTCGAGATCAAATTTCAAATTTAGCATCAATCCATTCATTAAAATTAGAGATTCTAAAAATTGTTTTTGTTTTAATATTGAGGTAATTAGCTACACTCCTTCGACTGACTTCTCTTATAAATGACTGATCTTCTTCTCTTATAAATAAATGGAATTTTGATTGCTAAACTGCAGATGTACATATATGCAACTTTATATTTTTATAGCCTAAAGAAGTGAGACAAATAGAAGTTTAATTTATCTATTAAAGATTATAATGCTATTATAATTTTACGTACTGTATGTATTTTGGAACACAAGATTTCCTGAAAAACATGTAGACATCCGCAATCTGCTAATTATGGATGATTAACGTTCTAGTTTTGGATCTAAATCACTAGTTACCTCGTAAAACTGAATCAAAAGGAAAACCTGTTTATAGTTACGTAAGGTCAATTTACGTAAAGCAAATTTCAAAATTAAAAACACTCTGAATCAATTGAAAAATACTCATAGTTCAAGGCTGGTGTACATTAACTGCTGCACTTGCGGTCGAACGATCCCCTCCGTCATCGATCTCGTGATCCGATGCAAGTAACGTACATACAGACATAGTTTGTAGAGCCGGCTGAAATCGGGCGACGTCTGGCGTGAAAAAGAAGTGTTTAATAGAATTACCATAAAACGTTAGGTTAATAAGTATGTATATCTACGCTCGAGGCTCGGCTCGTACCAAGTGAGAAATGACGACGTAGGAAGAATGTATAATCGCATCACGTTTTCGCTATTCCACTCTCACACGTGACTGCACATAGTTTCTTGCGCGCGTGACTGCATACACTCGAAGATCCACGCTACGTGTGTACCGCGCATGACACGTGTCTATGAAAAGAAGAAGAAAAAGAAGGAAAAAAAAAAAGTAAAAGAAGAAAAGAAGAAAAGACCGCTCGTTATAGTCGTCCGCTTGACGAGAACGCCTCGAAGGACGTTCGGATCTTACGCCGCGTCCACACTGCTGCGCGCGAAGAGCTGGAAAATATGTAGTTTGTAAATGCGTATATAGTTCTGTGGCAATGCGAACATGCCCGAACAACCACGATATCGGTTCTTGGAATCAAAACGGTGTCGTTCTCATAACTCATTGTAGACATTCTCAGTTTTGAGTAATATATGTCGGTTACAGTTTCGGTTCTTCAAAACCAATATATATATAGATCGTATCTGTTATTTGTTGGTTCTGTATTTTAATTATTATTCAACTCTCAAGATCGTCGTGTGTTTTTCTTTACACTTTACAACGATGCTAGTAGCATTACTTTCATGTCCAGCTTTTCCTTTGGAGCTCCGTGCGAGAGGATCGCTATATCGGTTTGACCGATATAGTATAACAGTTTGAAACAGTTATTTTCAGAATCTTTTCAATCCCTCCAGCAAACACCGTATATAGGGTGAGTCACCTAAGCTGAAACATTATTGAAATTATCAGTTATATCGAAAAATGTTTAGGTACAAGAGATAGGTTAGGAATCGGTACAAACCCCAATTCAGCCTACAAATTGATAATAGAACTTCATAAATTTTCGACACTATTCAGAAACATTTGAAAAAAAGTATTGTTGACAATCGGTTTGAAAAGGGTAGATCTACCTTTGTAGATAAAAGGATCGAGATCTATACGAGGAATTTTGTGGCTTTTGTTTATTAAACCATAAACGGATACAAAGACCTTTTTTTCTTTGAAAAACGAGTTCTATTGCGATGTGTACTGACACGTGGTTGCTGCAAAAGGTAACCTTCTGTCTGATAAAACTTTTTTTTGTATACATATATATATATACGCTTCAGTATGTTGAATTCACCTGTGGTCTTCGTATAATACAATATCAGTTTTATACAATTTTATCTCGAACTAATCGTATTTCTATTTTTTATTTTTATTTTAAGTTGGGAAGAAAAATCTTCGCTAATTTGTAGAATTATTATGTTATGTTTTCAAGCAGGTGGCGCTTATTATTTGTTGATGAAAAAAGGTGGAGCCTAATATTAGGTTAGGGTTAGACTGATGAAAAAAGAAGAGGCAAGTTTTAGGGATGTAAACTATTCGAGTACAGATTAGAACAGGAAGTTTTTATGAGATTGGATTAATGTCAGAGTGTTCCAAAAATTCGTATCGTTTCCGAATTTCAATAGAAAACAAACTAATTGATTTTAGAACTTTTTTACGTTACATAAAAAATACATGGTTCCTGTAAAGTGTATGCAGATGTATTAGCTTATTATACAAGTATAAAATTGCCGATTTCAAAAATTTGTAACAAGTGTTCAGAATTTAGTAATGAAAAATGTTAAATAATACTAATACTAACAATACTAAATAATACAATAGTAATGTCGGTTTTAAAACTGTTCTAAAAGGCACTGTATGAATTTTAGTATATTTTTTATAAAAATTTGATTTTGGACTTAATATATATAATAAAACTTTTAGTTACATATTATTACTTAAAATTTTTATGAAATGTATTTTTTAACTTTATTTTTAAATAGTATTTTATATAGACAATACAAAAAAAAGGTTAATTTATTTCATTTAAAGTTTTCATTTTTTAAAATATAAAAAGCAATAAACGAACACGAGGAATGAACTGTGCCAAAAATTTAATCATCAGAACATTTCGTTTGTGAAATTAAATTATACTGTGGAGTTGTATGTGTTAATTGAAAATATGCAGAAGCTCGATTCGTATTTTTTCCATTAAAAAATTCATATTCGTTTCTCACCAAATATTAGAACGAGAGGTATAGATAAAACAGAATTGATCGAAATACACTAACTGTTACATAAATAAAAAGACATAAATGGAAATAAAATAAATTTTTCATACGACAACTTCTAAGAAAGTTATATACATATATAGATTACATTTTCACAAGTAGAGTTATTTAAAAATTTCTCAATCTCTCTCTTTCCATTTGATTTTAGAACGAAATCTACGTTTTCGTTGTCCTTGACCGTTTCAAAAATAATTAATAATAAATGTGCCAGTTATTTTTCAAATGCTTAAAAATAAAGAAAAAAGCATCCCTAGAGGATAGAAAAATAAAAACAATTTTGTCCCTAGAGAAATTTTCCTAAAACTACCGCTTGGTTTAAAGAAATAACATCGCTTATAGACTTATGTTGCACATCAATTATCGTCATTTAAAATTTAAAGGGCGGAAAGGGAACGCGTTAATGTCGCAAGCCACCAGTTACCATTTATCGTTAATTAACATCAGATCACAGAAGTGATCTACGAAATCGGGAGGGTTGGCTCTAACGGCGAGCGTTAGTTCTAGCTGGTAACCCACATTTACGAGATAGACCGCTTTTATAACGCTTTCTCGAGTAGAGGCAGCACCCATCTGCTGGGGCACCTGACTCGATTCACCTGCCACAGGTATGCACGGTAGGTACGCTCCGCCTGACGTCGTCAGGTGTTTCTTCTCCGTGAGCCGGCTTTAACGGCACGGCGTGTCTCGAAACAAAGGGAAGAGGGCGCAAACCGCGCTAACGTTTCCCCTTGTTGCCTTTCCTCCTCTCCGCCAAATGGCTATCTGATGAAGATCCAGCCGCGGATAATCGGCCCGTTGACTTTTGAAATTTCGCGTCGGTTCGTTTCCTCGCCGCCGCTAATAAGAAAATGATCGAGTTCCATGGCGGATCGTTCTTTGTACAGCTGTGCCCACGCCCGACGCGTGCACACGCGTACATGCACGAAAGCACGCGGGCACATTCATGGATACAATGTTATTTTCGTAGCACACTGCCGAGCGATGATTCATGGATCGTGGTTGAAAACTTACTTTGCACTATGTTTGTATTCAGTTGGTTGATTAAGGAATTGAGCACTGGAGGAAGAGTGCAGCAGGTCTTTTTTTAACCTCAATTGGTATTGTTCGCTCGTAGGTGAGTCACGAGAGTTACAGGTTAGGTTAATTCATTTTAGAGTAGCGCAGAGTCGTACAAAGGTATTGAAATTAATTTAATAAGAAAGATGAACTTGAGTAAATTATTAAATTAATTCTTCTACAAGACAATGACGTATAATTGAGGATTGTATTGCTGATAGCTATAGTGTGATTCAAAGTAAATAATTTCACTGAAAACTGATCTTTATGTTATAAGTACATTTTAATTACAATTATATGTTAAAAATTTAATATTGCCTTCTGTCAGTTATAATTTGTTTATAACAGATTTTTATTTTTTGAACGGTATTAATCTAGGAAAAATTAAAGTTGAAAATCAAGATGAGAGAATAAGTAACAAGGACAGTTTTTCAATACTGGTAATATTAAAGTTTAGATCGATTGAAATGTAAAAAATGTAAGAGGAACTAAAAGGATTTTTTATTCAGGAAGATTCTGACGTAAAATTGATTTCTAAATAATGGTTTCTTTACACTGTAATCAGTTAATAATAAATATCATTCGAATTCTCTGGCGTAAGTCTAGTGAATGCGAGTTTGCCAAACAGTGTTTAAGGACGAACGAGCCTTAAAAATATCAAAATATGAGGTCAGTGATTAAAAAGAAAGTAATTCAAATATAAACAGTGTCTAAAGATATTTAAAAACAGATGTATCAGCAAGTCTATATACATATCTGTATAAATATACATGGAACAAAGATTAATTTTCAATTTTTATTGAAAACACTCGTATTACATATGTGTTTAATCTATCACGCATAGTGTATATATTTCAAAAGTAGCATAACTTAATAAAATTCAATTCCCGTGTACGAAAGAAACTATTGAAAAGAGGATTATAGAGATTGAAGGATTGAGTGAAAAATTATAAATTTATAGATTATAAATTCGATCATCGTTTCCTATATTTCATTCTTTTTTTACAAGATTACACATTTAGAAAGTAACTTTCATAAGCAGCTTTCAATCAATTGTTCTCTCTTCTTGAGAAACTTATCCGAGTTGTGTCGCGATATAATTATAGCAAATCGGTAAAATACGAAGTATAAAATTCAGCCTGCTGCTAACTTGTTCCTTTCCGCAAGAAATATGACCGTGTCATTGTATTGTAGAACGCTTTCTCACGAAGTTCCTGACAAAAGAACGCATGTGTAGACAATGCGTACACAACGTTCCAGTCAAGTTCACAAGCCGACGACGTTTTCTCTTCGGGGAATACGCGCTGCGCAGCACGTACTACTACAGAAAATTAAAAATATTCAATTTTTCACACGTCATTTTTCTTTGTACTTTTGTACGAGCAACTGTCGATCAACGTTGAATCGCAATGCGTCGCATTATTGGGTATCGGCCATACGTCCTCGCTCAGAAATCTTGAGGACAAGCACTATGTTTGCATGATGAAAATAGTATAATATAAATTAAAGATTAAATACAAATGTAGAAATAAATACAATATTTACAATACAAATTACACAATATAAAATTATATATATATACACAATATACGTTATAATTAAATATAAACGTACTTTGTAAATAAAAACTCTGTTAATATATTAATATATTGTATTATCGTATTGCAATACATGCACACGATAAACTTAAATTATGCAAAAATGCAAAATACATTTGTGAAAATGTAATACATACAATATAACTAAATACGATATATATATGAAATATACTTTATACAATAAAGACTCTGTTAATATATTGATATACTGTATTGCAAGATATGTATACACAACAATCCATGATTGAGTGAATATTAAAAATTAAAAGTCCTGACACTTTTGACACTTTTGAGCGGGTATATGTATACACAACAATCCATAATTGAGTGAACATTAAAAATTAAAAGTGTCCTGACAGGAGTGTACACCCCTTTTCCCCCGGTCGTAACGAGATTTACAAGGCTTTGTCGTGCAACGATAAACTCGTCTAATCTCGCGCGGCATAAAGTAATAGCCACGTGTAACAGTATCAACCACGGTTGGAGAGGAGAGTTTAAAGGGTTAAGAATTAGAGGAGCAAAAGCGAATACGATGTACGAGTGTGTTCGTGCGCTAAAGCATTTAGTCGTGAGATCGCGTGTAATACTCGCGACACACGCGAGTGCAACATAGGACACGCGACATTGCGTTCCGGTCGTTTCATTTCGCTTCGTTCCGTTCCATTCCGTTCTGTTCTCTTC